TGAAAATAAACCTTAATTAACTTATGAATTATGTGATTATACTCCAATATAAAGATAAGTGGAATTTAGGAATTTTTTGTTAGAAATAGAACCTCATTAAGAAGACAAATTAAAAAATAAGATTAGAAAAAATAAATGGAAAGAAGAACATCCAGAACTTGAGGAAATTTTAAAAAAGAGAATTAAGAGAGGAGCAGAATTATGGAATTAAGTATAAGATTTTCTTTGTAAAAGAGAAAATAATGATTATACAGGAGATTCAGAAGAAGAATCAGATAAAGTTAAAGAATAATAATAATAATAATAAATTGATAATATAGATGATGATTAGTTAGATTTAAAAATATAAGATATCTAAAGAAATTCAGAACGTCTATTATTAGCTGGAAAGACACATATAAAAACAAGGTACACATTTATAATAATATATTTAGATTAAATAATATGGAAAGTGATAATCCTTTATTGACTCAAAAAGTGATTACTGTAAAAACTGTTCAATTTGTTTTAGAATAACATCCATATTTTAGTAAAAGTAAAATATTATATAAATCTTATATCTTATGAGAATAATGATTTGATTATTATAAAAACAAATATGATTAATTTTCAATTTATGTACTAAATTTTATGAAGTCATATGTAAATAAAAAAAAGCCCATTTCATTCTAAACTATTGTTATATTTTATTTTAATAAATAATGAATAATATTACAGCTTCTCTAAAAGATTTATTACCCTCGAATTAAAAGGCTGTGATTAAGTTCAAAATAACACCTGGTAAGAAAATAGACTCAATATGTTAATGCAATTTAAAAACTTGCTTGATATGTTCTCGTAAAAGATCATCTTCTATGCTTTCATTGAAATCAATTAAAAACTCAGTTGTGGTTGATGAAAACTCTCCTGGTCTTAAAAGAACAGATAATAAAAACAATTTTGTAATACAATCTAGCCTTCTTTCTAAGTAACTATCAAGATAAGTATCTAACCATCAAATCCAAAATTAATTTTACAATGGAAAAATTAATTAGGAATCAAAAGGTAGCACTAACTCAACTACTTGGATAATGACAAATTCTCATTCTCGAAAAATATCAGTAGATAGTCCAATAAAAGAAATCTAATAATAAAGTTTAAATCCAATGGGAATAGGAAGACATTCTTTTAAATTTTTATATGTTGTTGGTAAAGGAGGATTTGGAAAAGTTTGGAGAGTAGAAATGAAAGCAAATAGATAAGAATTTGCATTAAAAGAAATGTTAAAAACAAAGTAATAATATCTAAATATTTAGAATCATATCTAAAAGATCAGTGAATTCAGTTATGAATGAGAAATTCTTACTTGAACATTTGAAACATCCTTTTATAGTGAATATGCATTATGCATTTTAAGATAGAGAAAATTTATATTTAGTTTTAGATTTATTAAGAGGAGGTGATTTAAGATATCATATAGGTAGAATGAAAAAGTTCTCTGAAGAATAAACAAGTATTTATATAATAAAGAATAGAATTTTTTACTTGTTGTATTCTATTGTCATTACAATATTTACATTAACATGGAATAATTCATAGAGATGTTAAACCTGAAAATTTAGTATTTGATAAAGAAGGATTTTTAAGATTAACAGATTTAGGAGTTGCTCGTTTAAATAAAGATAGTGTAGCTAATGATACATCAGGTACTCCTGGATATATGGCACCTGAAGTTATGTGTAGAATGGAACATTCTTTTCCTGTTGATTATTATGCTGTTGGTGTGATAGTTTATGAACTTTTAATTGGCAAAAGACCTTATAATGGCAAAAATAGATAAGAAATTAGAGAATAAATATTAGCTAAATAAATATAAATCAAAGAAAATACTCCAGGTATTAGTAATAAGGCAATTGATTTTGTTAATAAAGTATTTATAAAATATAATATTAGTTACTCATTCGAAAGCCATAACAAAGATTAGGTTTTAATGGTATAGATGAGATTTTTAGTCATTCTTGGTTATATAATTTTCCTTGGGGAAAACTCTTAAATAAAGAAATCAGATCTCTATATGTTCCTGGAGTAATTTAACTTAAATTATGTAGAGTATCGATGGAAACTATGATTTTTAAAGTTAGATCTCAGCTGACAGTGAACCTTAAGAGGACAGTTCGATGGTGCTAAGAAGGAAGAGTGTATAAGGATTATTTGAAGGATACAAGTTCCAATGAGATTAATCATTTATCCTCCTCCATTTTATAATTTTGTAATGAACATAATTATATCATACTATTTATAATCAATCTCTAGTATTAAAAAAAATAATAAATACTATTTTTATGTTATAACATTTAAATTTACAATAATTGAAGGGTTCTTTATATAAAATAGAAAAGAGATGGATACTTAAAATAAAATTATAAGTATAGGATTTTAATTTGGAATGATTAATGCAATAATCCTAAATTATATTATTTAATATTCTATATACATTTATTAATATATCTTATATATATTGTTCATATTAATAAGAAAGATCTTTATATTTAAATATATTAAGAATTAAAACTGAGAATATAGTAAAAATATAATTCATATTATCACTCAATGTATAATAAAAAATAAATCTTTTTTATGAACTTTAATTTAGTATTGAAATTCAAAATAAATTATAATCAAAGTATGATAGTCAATTTAATTCCTTTAATTTAAATTTTGTTCTTTTTTTACTTAATCTTATCGTTTCTTTCTAAATTTATTCTGCACTCTTAACCAAAAAAGATTTATCCCTTTATCTATTAGAGAGTTCTTCTTAAAGATTGCCTATAGTTACTATAACTATATCAGGACAATAATGTATAAAAGATTATGATTAGTCGTATAATAATCTATTTAAACTTATATCATATATTCTGTTTTTTTTAGTTACAGTCAACAAATCTTGATATGAATGCACAGTATTTGATGAATTACTATTTGAAATAGTTATTTATGTAATAAAGAAAGATGGATGATGTTATGTAGTAAAAAAATTACCAGGAGCTTAATCAAAATAATTGGAATTCAATAAATATGAAACAAATTAAGCAGCATTATTAACAACTATAACAGTTATAGTTCTATTTTTATTTTGAACAATTACTCTTTTAAGTTATTATGCCTTATTTTTAAGAGATTAATGATGATCTGATTTAAAATGAATAGTCTATAATAAACTTATGATAGTTGATTAATGATAGTGATTCTTTGTTTAAAGCATAGCATGTTGATATTTTCTTGATGATTACTCTTATTATTATTATTAATTAAATATTTCCTCCATTTCTAAAGAAGGTAAATCTGTTTAACTACTAGCATTATTGTATTATTTAGATTCTTCTTAAATTCCACTATTTTGATGTTTATAATATTGGGAGTTCATTTTTCTAGGATGCTATTAAAGTGATAAATTATTTAATCTTCCAGTTTTAGGTTATGTATTAGGTGATAAAGATAATTATGCCTTATTTTAAAATCTATATGTTAAGGGATCCATCTTTTAACTCCAAGGCGAAAAATGTAGCATACTTTATTATATATATATAATTAAAAAATTTTAAATTATAATAAATTGTAATTCACAACAGAAAACTAGACAATACATAATATTCAAATTCTATTATCACAATTTTAACATGTATAAATTAATTATATTTACTTTTAGAATTATCAATAAATTAATTGACTTCTTCTTATAATTCAATAGCTCCTTATTGAATAATGTTTGGATTATTTGAATTAGTTAAATGGGTTGATAAATCCTATCTTATCTTAGTATCTCCTTAACTCAAGGATCTATTTAAAACAAAGCAAGAATTTAAACCAAGACATATGTTTTAAATAACTGAATTATGTGAAAATAATATGAAACATCTTTAGGACAAAAAATATAATTTGTTCATATTTTAGAGTAAATTGATTAAAAATTTATAAATGAGTTAGTTTTATGTATTAAATGACAAACTGCTAATTTAATATATTTTTTAATGAGTTAAATGTCTATAAATTTTATCAAAATTTTTTATCATTAATTTTACTCTCAACTTTAATTAGTTTAGATTAAATTGAAAAATTATTATTATAACTAAATTTTAAACTAGATTATCATTCATTTTTTTGTTTATAATTATTTCCTAAAAAAAATTAAATTCATTTTCTGATTATCAAAATTATGACTATACACTCTGTATAGAAATTCATATTTTTACAATTTCAGAATGAATATTTTAATTTATTACTTGTTTTCTGAATCTTTTTTATATTTTCAAATCCAAAAAATTACTCTAAAACATTTTGATTAGATAATTCAATTCATAAATAAATTGAAATCATATTTGATTAAAGGCGATTCTTTTTTTTCTTAATTATTTAAAATTTTAATAGTTCGACATTGTTTTAAATATGTTATTAAAGATATAAAGATTATCAATACATCATAATAATTAGTAGTTAAATTAGAGTAAATTTTATTAATAAATTTTATTAGAACATAAAAATGGTGAACATAAGATAGGGTTAAATCAAAAATATATTTATAGTATTCTTTCATTTGAATAGTATATTGAAAGTTTTGATAATAAAAATTTAATTTTGAAGGTACTAATATTTATGATGTATATTTTAAGTGAAGGTATGGTTAAAGATTAGATTGAAGAATTGAGTTCAATAAAATTGAATATGGAATGCATCAATAATATTGTTATATATGGGTAAAATAGACATTTTATTTGTTTGGATATTTTTTAATTGAAAATAAGATGTCTTTTTAAGTAGAAAATCCTTAAGTTATTTTTCTATAAAAAGGATAATATATATTCTTAGGTTTGCATACATAAAATTTTATGTAATTGCAAACAAATAATTGATTTTTGAAAGTTTTACTAATTTATATATTTATATTAAAAATAGAAAAAGATATTAGATGAATATCCAAGTTTTTGCAATTAGGAAAAAGTGAGAGATTGATATGGAATCTAAGAATGTTTAATAAAGGATGCCATTTTTGGATGATTAAAGACAAAGTTTATTTATAAATAATTAAGGAAATATTTATTTCCAATATATAATTGCATATTAATTTGAAAAGGCTGAAACAATGTTATTTAATTGTGAAATAGGGACCAAGTTTTAAAAACCATAAAATGGGCAAGCAAGTCTTTAATGATTATCCGAAATTAAAAAGTAGAGCCAATCAAATTTGAGTTTATCGATTCTTAAACAGAGTATATATTAGTTTTTAAAGCTTAAAATAAATTAGCATCAAAATGGTAATATATGCATAATATAGTGTAGAGTGGCATTGCAAAGAGCGCAAAAGGAGGAAAAGGTGGAAAAGGTGGAAAAGGAGGAAAATTTGGTCAAGGAAAGAATAAGAAAGCCCCCTAATCCAGGTCATTGAAAGCAGGGCTTTAAGTAGTGAATTTTACAATAATAAGTTCCCTGTGGGTCGTATTCATAGATATTTGAAGTAAAGAGTATCAGCCAAGAACAGAGTAGGAACAACATCAGCTGTATACACATCAGCAATTTTAGAGTATTTGACAGCTGAAGTACTTGAATTAGCTGGAAATGCTTCAAAAGACTTTAAAGGTATTATAAATATGATTAACTTCTTTTTTAGTGAGAAGAATCACACCAAGACATCTTTAATTAGCAATTAGAGGTGATGAGGAACTAGATATTCTTATCAGAGCAACTATTGCAGGAGGTGGTGTTATCCCACATATTCACAAGGCTCTATTAGGAAAATAAACACCAGAAGGAGGAATTCCAAAGGAATGATATATATTATATTAATTCATAGAAAATATTAATGTTATAGAGCTTCGCTTATAGTAATTCTTCTTGAAGGCTCTAATTAAATCATTCTATCTATTAGATCAGCTCCTTCATATCCAATCCTAGAGAGTAACTCTTCCTGATACAGATACTTAGTTGGATAAAATCGAGGAAATGCAGCAGCCTCCTAATTAATTTAATAATATTACATTGAACAAAGGTAAGCTACAAAGAGAAGGTGCAATAAAGGCACTGGGAGTACCTAATTTAGAGAATATTTTAAATAGCATCTCTATTTAAGAGTCACCATAAAAAAGTATTTCTTTCATAACTACTTAATAGAATACACAACCCAATGACCATACATCTACAGATACATGATACTTGCAATAATAAAATACAATATTACATTATCACAACCCAATAAATTTTCAGGTGGTCTAAAGTGCAATGTAATAACTTCATAAGAATGTTTCTCACAATTAGAATTGAAATTTCTACATTGACCAAAATTCATTCTGGCTATACCAAAGTCACTTATATAAACATTTTAGTTATCATCAACAAGTATATTCAAAGGTTTCAAATCTCTATGCATAAAACCTAATTTGTGAATGTTGTACACTCCAAGCAGAAGTTGCTTGAAAACCTTTTTATAATTGATATCATCGTTCTATTTGATGTGTTCATAAAGATTATATGGGTAAAATGGTAAAACTATATAAACACATCCTTTCTCAAAGATTACTTTTTATAAAGGAACTATATGATTTTATCCTTTTAAAGAACTGAGAGCAGCTATTTCTCTATAAATAAATATTATACTATTACCTAATAGTGGATTGATCAATCTATTAAGACCTTCCAGAGAAAATTCTTTTGATAGCAAAGATTTCACCTAATGATATTAAAAAATCATGTGTTTACTTGTATTTTCATCTATTGCTTTATAAACCTCACCAAATGCTCCAAAACCTACTTTCTCTTAAAGAATAAATTATTGGACTTTTTTATTATCCTGCATTATCAAACAAATTTACAAAAAAAGCAAATTAATTAATAAAATTATATCTTAAACTTCTTTTATTTATAAATTGTCAAAATTATTATATGAATATCTTATCATAATTTATATTTTATTTTTTATTTAATGAAGAATTTAATAATAATCTTTTTCACATTATTATTATATATGGGAGAAAACCAAAACTCTATTAGATACCTACTGCTTTTGTTTAATTTACTATAAAGTATTTTGACTATTCGTATTTACAATAAGTTAATTTAAATTATATTTGGGAATGAAATAATATTTTAGGAAATGTAAATCATTAATAATATTGGAAGATTATTTATTCTTTAAGAAAGATAACTATAATAATATTTTAAATTTGTATATCTATAATATACAAATTTATAATGATATAAACATTTTAATATAATCTAAGTGCAGAATATCTAATATTTATTGTTATCAGATGAATATGCTATTAAATTTATATCTAGTAATAATATAGGCTATTAATCTTAGACACTCATTTTAGTTAAGATTTAAAAATCTTATTTAAAATTCAATTTTATTACAGTTTTTGCTAAATTTGACTTCATTAGTAATAATAATTGATAAATAATATAATTTATTATTATTTATTTGGTATTATGGATTTTTAATTAAAATATTCTAAAATTTAATAATTTTTATTAAATTTAATAATTGATATAATTGACTCTTTTTCAATTAGAACTCAATTATGTTTGATTTGATTCATTTTCTGAAGTCATGTCAACAGATTATTTAAACGACTCGAAAGTATTTGCATAATTTGTTGATAAGTCTTCAATTGGATTGATCTCATTAATTCTTTGATAACTTTAGAAGAAATTTACAGTTTCCTATTTCAAACCTAGATGGAAAGGTGTAATTGGATCAATGATTAAATAATCGTTTTGATCATCAGATCCTTAATTCTCTATAGATTCTTCATAGTCGTTAGAATTTTAATTTGTTTAATTTATTTCCATATTTTCTTAAGTACAAAGAATATTTTTTTTATTCTGATTCTAAATAGCTGATGTATCATTTTCAAGTGTATTTTACCTTGATAATAAACAAGAAACAATGGTCTCAACTATATTTTCTCTAACTCTTCTCTAACTGGAGGATTTTCTACCTTTAGGTATTAGTAATCTGAATTCATTATTCTTTTTTGAAGATAAAGTTTGATTTATAAAAATCCTGACTTTTTTTGTTAGCTTTTTCTTATCCATCATCTAAATTAATTTGATAATTATTACATAATATTAGATATTATCCATAAAGATCCTTAAACCATATGAGATCAATCTCTATTTAAATTCTTTGTATTCTGATTTCCTCTCTTCACTATTGACAGATTCAATTGACTTTTATTTTTTGTTCATTATCGTAGCTATCTCTCTAGACTTCTTTCCTAACCTCTTTAACTCCATAATCTTTTTCCTTTCCTCTTAAGAGTTAATATTATAAGTCATTCCTAATCTATTAGAATTTGTATTTTTTTTCGGCATAAAATCTAATTAATTAATTAAATAGTCAATAGATCAAGACTAGAAAAGGATTTGAGATTTAAATTAATAATCTTTTATATCTACACTCTCTTAGACTTAAAAACATGAATTACCATATAAATAGAAACATGATTTTATGGAACATATAAAAGAAATCAAAATTATCCTAATATAAATATATAAATTATCAAATTATTTATAGTAAACTTAATTTGATGAATTAAGATATTTATTAAGCATCTTGATGTGGTTTTATCCTTTTTTTTGTTATTCATTAAAAAATAATATAGTAATTTAATTTAAATATATAATATCAATTTTTGAGATCATTCTATTGTATACTTTATTATATAAATTAAGTATATGCATAATACATTTGCAAAATCGTAAGTTAACCAATATTTAAATACTCCTTATTTTAATCATCAGGTTCTTCTTCTTTAGGTATAATTTTCTATTAATTTGTTGTTTCTAAGTTTTCTAAAACTTATTTAGAGTTGAAAACTTTTTAAATAATAGAATCCACAATTTGCTGAATTATTCTTCTTTTATTTGATAATCTCTTTTGTTCTGGTATTAATTTTTGAAATTATGATGTTTTTAATGTCAATTATTCTTTGATTAATCGATTTACACTTTTAGCTAACTTTCTAGTATTTTCTATCTATCATCAAAGCAAAATTAATTACATTAAGATTTTTATTTTAAATCACCCAATCATAACCAAACTCAATTAAGGCTTTTTTCAATTCTCCATACTCAGATCTTTTTTCGATTGATTTAATTGATTAGATAGTTTTTATATTTTTTTTTAAAGCTTCACTGATTTCTTTGCATGATACTCCATTCTCTTTCATTAAAATTATCATAGCTCTTTCTTCTGAAGTTGTTTTTTCATATTTCTTACTCCTATTTCCTTTTTAAGACTTTGAATCCATAAAAAAATTACTATGTATAAAATCAAGATTATTATATTAATGATGATTTGAGTGAGAATATAACACAACAGAGATTATAATACATATATTAATTATTATATGATTACATTAAATATATTCACACTTTCTTATGATCTAAACAGAACTATTTAATTCTTTAACAAGCTTCTTCTATTATTTCTAGATCACAACAAATTACCAATCTAACAAACTTTTCACCATAAAACAATTCACCAGGAAAGACTAGGACATTTTACTCCTATTAAAGCTTTTTGGCAAAGTCAATAGATGAATTAATATCTGAAAACTCTTCAGTATTAATAATCAAAGTTGCATACATAGCCCCTTTAGTTTCTCCAACACTAATTCCATAAGCATCATGAAGTCCATGATGTAATGCCTTATATCTAGCATGAAGTTCATCCATTTTTTCAGGAATAATATCTAAACTCTTTTTATAAACTTCACAAAGTGCTGCTTAACAAATAGTATTTGGCATCAATAAAATGTTTGATATATTTCTTAAAGCCTATTTAACCTATTTGAAAGTATCTCCCTCTCCATATAGAGCTAACCAACCTAATCTCCAACCAGGAACAAGACATTTTTTTGTCAAACCAGAACATCTCAAAACAGGAACAGTTTTAGTATAATCAGAAATAAATTTAAACTCTCTCTTTTCAAAAATCATATTTTCATAGATTTCATCACTTACTATTGGAAGATTATATCTTTCACAAACTAATTTGATTATATATGATTATATTACAATTAACAATTTCTTTTAATGCTTATGGACTCAATTCACTTCCCATAGGATTACTTGGAGAATTGACTAAAATAAACTTGATATCTGGATTCTATTCATAGATATATTCCAATTCTAGAATATTAACTTACCAAGTTCCTGGATTTAAATCATAAAACACAACTTAAATTCCATAGAAATCAGCAAATGCTTTTACTAATGGAAATGTTGGTCTGGGCATTAAAATCTTGTCTCCAGGTTTAGCTAAAGCTAAAGTGGCATAAAAGAGAGCTCCACTGCCACCACTAGCCAAAATGATGTCATCTGCCTCTAATTTTCTATGATGTGACGATAACACTTCTGCCAATTGAGTTCTCACTTTGATGTCACCAAAAAAATCTGTATATCCATCTATTTTTCCAACAGAATTAACTGCTATTTCCTTATATTCATTTGGAGTTTAAAATTTAGGGTAAGCTGTTGGATCACCTAGAAGAAAAACAATTTTTTTTTCTGGTCTTCCTTCTTTTTTACCTGCTTTTTCTACTTCAGGTACTACATGTTCAACCCAATTTCTTATTGGATTTAATGATACTTATGCTCTTGCAGAGGGTTTAAGCATATCCCATGATCTTTCTATCTATTACATATTATTTTATTAATGTGATGCAATAAATGATCAAATATTTTTATATCCAGATTTTAGAATTTTATTTGTTTATTCTGCTTACGAAACTGCATTATCAAAATATTAAAAAGGAAGCTCTTCAATTAAAATTATTATAAACAAAATTCATGAGATCTATTGAAGATGATAATTAAAACGCATTTGAAGAATATAAACTATATGAATATTAAACAATCACTTAATATTGGATTAGTACAATCATATTTATTAGCTGTTTAACTATCTTTATTGGAGGTGTTTTACTATCATATTTATTTGAACCTCATCTTCAAGATTGTATTATATTTATTAATTATTAATCTAGCCATCTAATGTATTAATTTGAAAGACTAATTATATTATTATTCCATCATATTAATGTTCATAAGCATTTGTGAAATGTATGTTTTTTATCTATTTTAGAATTATATTTTTATTTGGTTTTGGGATGCAATATGCTGATTAAATAAATTTTTTTGGATAAATATAAAAATATTAAAGAATTGAATAAATAGTGATCCTCTTTACATTTGTAATAATAGAGGCATATATCTATCAAAATAGAAGAATATGTAAAATTAATAAAACATATTATTCCTTATATGCTTTTTACTTTTGGCAATTATTTTGGTGTGCATTTGTTTATAATTTTGAAAATCTTACATGATATAAAATATAGTTATCAAATTATGATTTCATCATCATCATTTTATTTATTATCTTGATCATTTAATTACTCTTAAATTTATTCTTAAAGACTTGGATTTTATACAAACTATTAAATCTCCCTTTCTTAAAAACTATTCTTTCTTTCATTCTATTCAACTATTTCCTCCTTTACCTATTCAAATTACTATATTTATAATTAATTCTCTAATATATGATTAGATATATCATTTTCTTCAAACAATTACAATTTAATATTTAAACTCATTATCTAACAAGTATCCAATAACTATTTTATCAATTAATAACCTTCTAAAGATTGTTAATCATAATTTAATTTATCAGAATCATTCAAATTTTAATTTTCATGTCCTCTAAGATATACAATATCTATATAAAAATTATCTTCAAATTATTATTAAAAATCTAAATCATTCATTTAGAAACGAATTATATTTTTGAATAAGAATCCAGTATGAATTTAAAATCTAAATATTGGAATCAAGTCATTTTCTGGTGTGATATGTTTACATCGAAATACAATATCATTGCTTATTTATAAATTAGGGACAATAAATATACATTATTCATTTTTTTGTATAATTTGACTTTTTTCTTCATAACATATCCCTTTCCTATCTAAAATTTAAAATAATGGTTTGAATTATTATAATTATATTGGAATTCCACTCAAAATTACTGATTTCACTTTGATTGTTTATGTATTCAATTACTCATTTGAGAACAAATGTGTTAAATATTTATGAATGTACATTAATTGAGACTTTAATGGAGATGTAAGTCTCAAAGCTTTTGCTATGATGTAAAAACTTTCTTAGATACTTGTTTTAAAAACAAGAGACCAAAATATTGAAAGAAGTATTGCACTCCTACCTTTATTTTGTTAACAATGAACAATTGCAATGTTTCCTTCATGTTATATCCATTCTAATATGCATTTACAAATTAATAGCAATTCATAAAGTGGTGGACATGCAAATCCAATGTAAGAATGCATTGAAACCTAATTCTAAAATAACTCTCTTGTATAATCATGTTCACTCAAATTCCAAATATAATAATGATGTCCATATTTTTTATTTAAATACTATGAGACCTATACTATGGATTCTTACTTTGGAAAAGGCATCCAAAAAACATTATCTGTAATTTATTATAAAGTTTTCATATAATATTAATTTATTGATTATCAGAAATATCTAAAGATACTGAAAGAGATTTTGAAACTACATAAGATTACTAAAGGAAATTTAAAAGAAAAAATAAATACTTTTTTAAGAATTCTCAAAACAAATAAAATAATAGAGTAGTGATGCTTTGTAATTTATTTGCTCTTTTTAGAATTTATCTGAAGGATAAGGTATAATTTGTCAAAAAATTTAATATTAGCCAAGCAGAAGGATATCTATCAAAACATAGAGAAATTTAGGTAGAATGGAATTTTTGCTATTTGTCAACATAATCTATAATTATTTCTTTTAATCCATTTCAATCGTTATGTTCTGAATTCATCAAGACCTCATGATGGATTACTCATAAAATAAAGCGATTAGATAAAAATTTATTTATTTCTAAAAAAAGGACTAAAAAACAAGTAATTTTTATACAATCATTTTAAACTTATAACAAGTTTTAAAAAGCAAGTAAGTCTTGTTGTAAAAGATTGATCAAGAGAAATAGATGAAAATATATCTTCCATCTCATCAAATAAAGACATTGAAATACTTCTCTTAATAGAAACCAATAATTTAAACAAAGTCCATAAACTTTGAAGATTGTTGATTTGGTATGAACTAAAAGTATATGGCAGCATATTATGCTTTTTTTAATGAATAAAGACCTCAATAAGGAAATCCTCTATTTTAACTAAAACTAAGTCATATTATACATTTAGTAAATATTGATTAAAAAAAATCGAATGAATACTCAAGTTCAAATTTATTTTTTATTTTTATATATTATTATCAATGATGGGTTCTTTATACATAAAACCATATAAATAAGTGCCTTCTATTTAATTTTTTTTTATAAAATAAACAAATATAATATTAGAAAATATTAAAATAGTTAATGCAAAATATCTATAAAAAATGAAATTATTTTACCGTGAATTTTTCTTTAAATCAAAACATTTTCCAAGCCATTGCAGAGATATCATCTATTAATTCAACATCTTCTTGAAAATTAACTTTTATACTTATTGTTGAAATAATTTTTTTAAAGATCTCTGTAATATAAATTAAACAAAAATTTAATAGCAAAAGTATCACTTTATAAGAAAATTCTTATATTTGAAATTTTCAGTGCAAATTGATTTTATTTATTGTAACAAATAATTAATATTTGTTTGCATAGTTATAAAATGGGTTGTTGTTCCACTAAAGGAAGAAGAAAACATTCACTATCTATTCCAAAAACAAGTATTTTAAAAAAGCCAAGCCCTCTTTAATAAGTTTAAAAAGAAATAGTTAATACTAAAAGGAAAACTCTCAGTTTTTAATTGCAATCTATAAATTCCTAAGAAGTAAATAGAAAAAGCCTTTTTACAAAACAAATCATTTCAGATTGATATGAATGATGGCAATTGATTATATTTTGTCTATATATTGTAAATTATAGTAAAGTTATAAAAAATCATTATTCTTAACTTTATTTTTAATAATATGTCTAGATAAATAGCTTTGCTATATTTCTTAATGCTTAAGAGGTTAATACTTTTTGATTTATATATTAACAGTAATGTTAACATAAATAGATATGGTGATTGCATTTTATACTAAAATGGGATATTTCTATTAAATAAATTAGTTTTATGAAGTTCATATCTAGTGTGAACAATGATTATTTATATTTGAGACCTTCTAATAATTGATAGGATTTTTAAGAATTTTATAATATATTAAGTCAATTATGGTATTATAAAATTTAATTAAATTATTAAAATTTCACTTCATAAAATGAACTACAAAGCAGCACAATATTGTTAGGAATTGGAATAATTAAATATTTAGAAATTATGAGTTGGGGATAACCTGAAGAAGTACCTTAATAAACATCATCTTGGGGTAATGCAGAATCAAGTTGGGGCAATAATGGAGATTAATAATAATAAGATAATAAGCCAGCATGGGGAGATTCAAATAATGGTTAAGAGAATAAAGAATTTAGAGGAAGAGGCGGTAGAGGAGGCAGAGGTGGAAGAGGAGATAGAGGTGGAAGAGGAAGAGGAGGTGATAGAGGAGGAAGAGGAGGTAGAGGTAGAGGAAGAGGTAACAATGAAAACAAGGAAGAAGGAGAGGTAAAACCTTAGAATGATGGTGGAGGATGGGGATAATCTACATAAGAAGGATGGGGTTCAAATTAATAAGAAAATAAAGAACCAGCTTAAGGGTAATCATAATGGGGTAATGATGGAAATAATGGTGGTGGATCTAATGAGAATGCTGGAGGATGGGGATAATAGAATACTGAAACTTAAGGTTGGGGAGGAAATTAGGAAACAAATAATTAAGATGGTTAATAAGAACAATAGAAAGGGAAAGGGAAAGGAAGGAAAAGAGATTCTCCACCTCCTGCTAAAAGAGTAAGACCTAATCCAATAGTAATAACAGTAGAAGATGAAGAGGATAGTGAAACTTAGAATATAATTATTAATGAATATCCAGTATTGTAAAATAAGTAAAAGGGATTGATTAAAAGTGAGGAATAGTAAATATGTTTTGAAGGTAATATTAAAATAGATGAAAATAATATGAATACATAATTCATTAGTTTTGATACAGAAATAAAAGTTAAAATTGATTAAATTGAAGATTACACAATAGAGAATTCAAAAGATTTATTGAAAACAATTGGAGATTAAATTATAGTAGGAATAGTTTAAGGAGTTGATAAAGATAATTAAAAGGCTATAAATAAGTTAGCAGATAATCTTTTAGATAAACAATAATCAATTCACTTTAAAGATGTCAGTTTGTTTAGTATCAAATAATTGTATAAGGGAGAAAGTGCTTCAAGATTGGCCTTTGTTAAACAGATTTAAGTTTGAAGATTATGGATATTATTAAATATAGATATAAATGTATGCTTCATTATTTCATTGGGTGTTCATGATTCCATTCTTCATAAGACCCATCAAATAAAAGTAATCTAAATATATATATTATTATTACTCTTTTTTCTTCAGAATTTCTTATGCCAATAGTGCTATACAACTTAATTTTCCAGTTTGACAAGTATTAACAATTTTTTTGGTAATATCAATTTAATGATTTTTGTATAACTTTTATAAATTTTCTGTGGATTTCATTGTATGATCATCATTCAAATATTCTGAATAAGGTAAATTATAAGATCCAGGTATAGATCCCTTTTTAAATCTTGGTGGATCTCTGGCATCTAAAAGTAGCCAATCATCACCTTTTGTATCCTTATGTTATTTAAGATAGGAAATAACTGATACATCTTTTGTTGTTAATGATGTAACTTAATCCTTTGGTTAATCCTCTTTAAATAAACAATAATCATACACAAATTCAAATCCTCATAAACTTTGGAATCATTTTTATCAAAGTCATGTTGATGATGCCATTTGTTAAATCCACCATCTAAAACATAAACCCTTTTGAATCCAAAATACCTAAATGTAAACCAAGCTCTAGCAGCAAAATGAATATGTTCATCAAAAAAAACAATTGGAGTTAGATGATCATATTAATTCTCTTAAATATATTTTTCAAAAGTCTTTTGTGTTGGTAATTTACGAGGTACAGGTACAGGAGTTGCTGTAATATCAATTAAATTGAGTGTTGATTAATCTAGCGTAATTCTGTGAGCATGAACAAATTTATTGTTTTCTTCTTTGTTATGATGATGATCTGTCATTATAACATTGACAATTTTTATTTTTGATTTGTTTTTGACTAAATAATGTAAATATGGTGCAGATATTAATGATCCACGCATTTTAATATAAAATTCATTAAATTGTTATAATTTGATAATAAATATAGTGTCATTTTTAATTTATATGTAAAAAAACTGAAATCCATTATTATAGTTGAATTAATATAAAGGAATATAAAATAATATGTGCAATAATAATTATGAGTTTATAATAAATTAATTAAATTATGATCAGTACTTATGATGGTAACATGAATTTCGGTAGCCTTATATATTTTAATTTAGATATTATTATAATAATAATATTTATGATTATGTAATTTTTGTGTATAGTATAATTAGTAAATATACAAAACTTAATCTAACTAGAAAATATAATAATTAATTTAATAATATTGAAACAATATAATAAGAGTATTTTATTTGCTCAGCTATTTTGATATTATTTTTTTTACTTTAAAAAATAAATCAAAGAATTATTATATGGATATAGAAAAAATCATGATTGAACCATTAATAAATAATGAGAGAATGTTGTTATGATTAAATTTTTAATGCAAATATTAGATAAATAAATTATCTTTCCAAAAATGATCATAACTGCAACAATCTAATTAGATTCACAAAATTTATTTTTAAATATATATTAAAATTTAATGTTAAAAAAATTAAGTCACTTTGCACGTCTTGATAATCGAACCATTCTTTCCATTAAAGGAAGAGATGCTTTTGAAATTCTATAGGGAATAACCACAAATGATATTCGTTAAATATAGTAATCTCAAAGTACATTATTCCTAAATACAAATGGGAGAATAATTTGTGAAGCCATTTTGCATAGACCACAAATGTAAGAAATCGTATTATTAGTCAAAAGAATGACTAGTGGTAATATTGTAATGATGAAATTTGGATGGATATAGATATAGACATTAAAAGCTCTTTAGTGAATCATATCAAGAAATTCTTGATTAGAAAAAAAGTTTAAATCACAGATTATGAAAATCAATTACATATCTTCTAAGTTTATGTAATCTATTTATACTTAAATTTAAGGGACCAGAAGTCAAATTAAATAATTAGGAAGGTGAACCTATTATAGATCCTAATAATGATTTATCTGAAGAAGGGGATTATAGAAACATAGTTGCTGTGGATCCAAGATCTTCATCTATTGGAATCAGAATGGTTACTAATGATATGCCAGATTTAAAATAAAATGATATTTAAATTGAGGATTAAGGACATTTTGAAATTTCAAGATTGACTGAAGCTATATTTGAAGGAAAAGAAGTTGTTAATAAAATACCATTCTAAGTTAATTTTGATTTCTGGAATTCTATCAACTTAACTAAAGGTTGTTATGTAGGTTAAGAATTAACAGCAAGAACATATCACACTGGTGTTATTAGAAAAAGACTGCTACCTTTTAAAATAGTCTCTAATGATAATACTGATAATTTAGAAGATTAAATAATTAGTAATGGTGAATAGGAAGTTGGAAAAGTTGTTAAGAGTTCAAATAATTTTGGGATTGCTAATGTTAATTATTTAGATATAGATTTAGAAAAAGAATATTAAGTTGGCAATAAAATAATTTC